ACTTATGAAGACTGATGTAGAACAGAGACTAGATGGAGCTAAAGAATAAAGTAGGTATTTATTAAGTGGCCTCAGTAGATCCACCTTGGGCAGCACAAGAGCCCAGCCAGGGCTGCACCCCAGGTGAACTCAAAATGGCCACAAAATGGACGACAGGTCACGGGGTCTCACACTTTTATAAGTTTTGGTCCATTAGCATATTGGAGTTAATTGTCCAATTACAGCTTTAGCCCATGAAGTCCCATCCTTCTTATTTTCTCTGTTCAGTCCACTGTTGTTTACGCTCTTAAGCCTGAGATCTGGGTTGGCCTTCCTTAGGTGTCCAGGTAGAGAAGGAATGGTTTTGTCTACCTACTCTGTGAAGAGAGCTTACTATCCCCTTATATGAAGCCCAGACCCACACACTAAAGCAGCACAGAATCTGAAAAATACAGAAGCTAACACCTGAGGCATCAGCAGCAGGGACCCTCACTCCGCCATGCGGCTCCAGAGAACAATGGAAGGAAAAAAATTAATAAGAAAACAGTGTTGCAAATGAGTTTCCATGGTTAAACACCTACCCCCAATCAGGAAACCAGGGAAAACAGGGGCAAAGGAAACATGGAAAGCTATGTTCTCTGGAAGGGGTTTTGCTGCTGAGCTGCTTGTGGCATGTCACTGGGCAGGGGCTGTCCCCATCAGCAGCGATCTCAGGGGGTGGCCGTGGTGGGGACTTGCAGGGTGACTCCTGATCCCGAGTGAGCTCAACAAAAGGAAAAGGACCCCTCCATGGCTTTTAAAAGGGGCAAAACCACTCCTTACCATGGCTGCACAGGTTCCACTCCTGACACCTCAGAATTCCCTGCTGAAAACTGCTCCCTGCTCTCCACAGGGATGTGTGTGGTATAGAATAAACAGAGCCAAGACTGCATCTCCTATCCCTGCACCTCGGACGGTTACACAGCAAAATGAGATGCTCAGGGTTCTGAAGTTCATCAGAAGTTCTGATGTTTGTCTTCAGGAGCAAGCTCAAGGGAAGCAGTCAGACATAACTTGATGATGAAAAATAGAGAATAAAATATTTGTTTTTCTTTGTTTCTATGCACACAACCCTTAATTTTGCTTTATTTCGGTGCCTTTATCCTGAGCCATGATGTTTTTTCTGTCTTATTTTCTCCCCCACTGTGTTCTGCTGAGAAAAGGAAGTAATAAAATGGTTTGGTGAGCACCTGGCATCCAGCCTGTGTCAACCTACAACAGAAGAATCCCTGCACCACAGAAGCATCTTTGTATCATTCCAGATACATGGTGCCTGGAACAAAGACCTTGAGCATTTTCTGTATTTATATGATTGTTGTTCAAGTTAAATTGCAGTTGCAAGACAAAAATAAATCCACATTAAGTTTTATAAATCAGATTGAACCTGAAAGTCAGAGAGGAGAAGAATGGTTTTCCCTCTCAACTCTCATGTTTATATATAAACCTAAATCAAACATGACAAAAATCACAAGTAAAGACTTTTTAACTGATGACCTTTTACACCAATAATTGGTATTACCACCAGTAATTGGTTTAGACAGGTATATAAAAAAAAAGACAGAGCTGGAATTTGTTACACCAGATCATGCACCTACAACATTTTTCAAAGACTGTGGTGTTTAGGACTGACTTAAGATTACAGGTGACCTTACAGGAACTTTCATTGCAATCCATTGTTAGTTTAGAAAGCAGTGCTGAAGTGACTTGATAATAAACTACAGTTTAAAAAAGTTCATGCAAGCCATATTTCTGATAGAATTTTTTGACTGTCAAAATAGGTCCCTCAGGGAACTTTGATGCAGTTGTTAATATTAATATAGCACTATACCTACCATACAGCACCTACCCTTCTGGGTTATGTGCCAGCTGAAATATCAAGGTCCTACTACAATATAAAAATGTGGTATGAGAAATACGTGTAATTATGCAAAACCCTGTGACATATAAAGACTCAAAAGAAAGATGAGGCACAACTCAAAATAAGGTTTGACAGAAATAATAGCGGTTAGAATTGATCTATAATATTTCTTCACCATTTATTAAAGAGGTCTGTCCTTCAGCTGTCAGACTGGCCCTGAGAGTCCTCAGCATCATCTCACAGACCTGTTTGGGAGCCAGAGGCTAAAAACAAACCAATAAGCAAGCAAACAAAAACCCAAAAAAAAAAATAAATAGTATTATTTCCATCTGTCATCAAACAGTGACTCTATTTAAGTTTTAAAATCAACCTGCAAATGGGAAATAGTGAACTACAGAAGGCTTTATCAGAAAGTTTGCTTGCGTATCCAGTCCTTCACATCTCCAGGGCAAGTAATTTAGTCCACATTAGTTGGACCAGAAAAAATGATTGTGACTCTTAAACTTTCTAGTGAAATTCTGTAGTCTGTATGGTGCAGATTCCATTTTAGGCAATCAAATGCCCTCTTTATCGTCAAATTTTTTTGGAATTTATCTATAATGAATAGTATCTGTGGTCAAGATATATGTGATTACTAAAATGAACTACACTAAGAGATGTGACCCTGTGGCTACCCTAGATCAGAGGATATTAGCCACTCACAACTCAGTGTTTTCTGAGGAGACATCTTCATTCTGTTAAAATTCGCACCACTCACAAGGATAAGAATGGAGAGACTTGAGGAGTGTTAATCCTGTAAGCCATTGGAACAGCAATCTTTACAAGATACAGAGTGTGGTTCTGAATAACAGCCTTCTAATGAGGTAAACCAATGATTAAATATATTATTTTCCCCTATTCATGCAGAAGTCTGTCTCGGTTTATGTTAGTCTTTCCATTTTTACTTATTTTCTTATTCCCTTTAATTAACAAGTTTTACTTCCAATTTAGAGTAATATGTTTTCTCTTTTTTTTTTCCTTTAAGGAGTGAGTTTAAAGAATTTGTTTAAATTGTAATTCATCTCTGTCCTTGTCATATAAACAGCTGCAATCTATCACTATGACTGTTTGTTTACCCTGCAATAACAATTGCACCTTTATTCAATACTCCATCTCTTCCAAGTATCCTTTAAGCAGGATTACAAAAATCTACTCAGACTGATCCTTAGGCTTATGGCAGAAAGGGCCAAAACTCATGGGTTTCCTTACATTTTTGAGTAAGAGGGAGTTTACCCCTGCAACTGGAACTGTTTTCTGTTTCTATGCTGATTATTGAGTTCTATTTTACCCTTTGAATAATATTAAGATAATTCCCTTAACAATTATCTTAAGAATATTATTAAAAAAATATTAACTTATCTGGAGGAAGCAAGTGAAGGAGTCATGATCAAGTTTCCTGCTATTTCATTCCAGAATTTCTTCCTTCAGCATTTTGAGAATGAATTGGAGAAAAAGCATCAGCTTGCAGTACATAAATGTTGGACAAAACTATCCTGAGCTCCTGTTATTCTTTGGAGTTTTCTGTAGTAAAGTATAGTTAATGTCTACTGTAGCCCTCAAAGGTCGAAAGAACTTTGAATGAGACACTTTCTGCCTCGGGACAGAGTCTTGTGAGCAATCCTGTATTGCAACATGTTAGCAGAATCTTAAAAAGAGAGGGAGATGTCCACCACCAATATTTTCCTAGGATAATTGACTTTCTTACTCCTTAAAAGATACTTGGAAAAAAACAGTCATATTGCAACAACATTTCAGTAAGAATCAATACTGAACACGAGTTATTTCCAGTGTATATTACTCCTATTTTATTATTTACTTCTTAGCAGAAGGATTCACAGTAGAAATTCTAAAGGAAGACAAGCAGAATTCAGCAAATAAAATGAGGCATAAGCTAGTATACTGAAAACTGATTAGAGATTTCCTCCTTCAGTAAGAAATTCACGTTGACTGTAATTTATTCATGAAAAGACTCAGCAGTCAACTTTGGTCATCTCTGTTTATATTTTTCTTGTGAGATATTTCTTCCATTTGATTATCTGCTCATTCAACCAACATACCTAAACATGCCTGGGGGATATTCTCTGTTCAAAACCTTGCATCTTAACAAAGTAGGATATTTTATCCTTTTTCTCTGAAAATATAAAATAAAGAAATCATTATAAGTGAAAGATTATTAACATTAAGCTCAATCTATCTACATTGCAGAAATTCTGTACAGCTCTGTATTTTTTTCACCGGCCAGATTATTATTTTTTTCTTTTATGTATTCATTTCTTTTAACCAGTCCCTCTTATTGTAACACAAGATGATATATCCAAGAAAAGATGGGGTTCTGTGCTACTATCAGATGAATAAGTAACAGATAAAGGATTTTAACAGAAGGATTCACTTTGGCCTTTTTCCCTGCTAGCCTGGCATCCATTCATGAAAGAACCCTTAAAGGGGAAAATGAGGAAGAGTGGAATGAGAGGAGTTCAAGATACATCCTTTTTTTCAGAGTTTGGTAGAATGATAACACAGGAAAGTCTTATAATGTGGACAGGCAGGCTAAATATGTGAGTACATCTTCAGGACTGGATACCTGTTCTACACCACACAAGAACAGGATACCTGTTCTACACCACATAAGAGAAATGCTCAACTTCCAGCTAAGAAACTGTTTTGCCATGCAAAGGAACAGGGCAGAGGAGCAGGTCTAGAGGTTAATTCACAGGCATTACAGAAGTGAATCCTAATCTTTTCTGCTCAGGTTGAGTGCTACATTTTTTTTTCTGCATCTCTGTGCACAGTTCATAAACAATAATGTTTTTCCATTTCTACTTGTAAGTTTCATTAAGTTTACTTATGAAGTTTACTAAGTTTACTTCTATGAGTTACCTGATGATTATGATCTCTGGCTTGAAATCTGGTGCCATACAGCTCCTTCTACCTACTGCTCTGGTAACCAGCCCAATGCAAAATAAAACAGGAAAACCTCCCCCTCCTTGGGATGGAATTTCACTGTTATGTTTTCCTTTTGAACCTTCAATGCCTGATGGATCTGGTTTAAATTGCCATATAAAACCGAAATCTTACTCACCCTTCTTTCCCCATTGATTTTGAAAGGACTCCATCTGTTATCATTTCAGAGGCAAAAAATTCATTTTGATGGCTTTAGAGAGCAGATAATATGGATCTGAAGAGTACTAGAATATAAAGGAAACAGCTTTTTTCTTTGCTTCATGTTCTGTTGTCCAGATAATTTTTAATTTTTGGTAGATTTAAAAGAAAAAAAAAAAGATGGATAAAAAATGCCAAAACTTATTGTGTAGAAATAACACAGATCAAAATACATGTGTATGTGAAGAAATAACAGTTTTAGACAGCTGAGAATAACATCATGTACTTCATTGCTTGGCCAGGCAGTAATAAATAAGAAATATCTTCTATCCTTCTAGTTGTACAAATATCAGATAATACAAATTTTTTCAGATAGGAATTTGATATCTTACTTTGTTAATTTATGAAATACAAGACTCCAAAATACCATGGATGATTGTTAGGACACATTTTTTTGTATGAGAATTGTTTTGATGCCACTGGAACTGTTTCTCTGAAAAACTCAGTGCACATATATATATATATACACACACACACATACACACACCTACATAATTTTTGATCCAATGTTTTGTGTCCATAAGTTAGAACATAATAAAAGAAACAGAGTTGCACCAGATGTTTAATGATTATTTATGCAAGTACCAGAAAAAACACAATATAAAATTAGCCAAATATGAGTAATATTTTGAACAATTAAAACTAAAATACAGCAGTTTTTAAAATCCAATAATAATAGTAATAATAATGTTACAATATATTGCTACTATTTTCACAACTGCAGCTGTTTTTCTGCCTAATGAAACTTCTAGCTGGTGACTTTAATGAATATGTCCCTGTTGCTGCTTTAGAATTTGCATATACCAGAGATTAACATGAGAAATATTAATAATTAGCAAATTAACTGTAAATAACTTAAAATTTTGAAGTAAATCAAACAAAAGTTTAATTTATTCTTGTTTTCCTGTCAAAGCTTCTTTAATATCTCTAAGTGCTTGATATAGTAAAAGTGTATATATTACTATTCTAGTAGTATTCTAGAGGAGTATTACTATGTGTCAGCCATGCATTCTGTCTGAGACAGAGGACAGTAATTTCTTGATATGAATCTTATTTCTCTTTGATTTTTAGCTATTATATATTCTACATACAGCAGCACCACTTCCTGTTCAGATCATTAAATAGTGTTAGAAAAGGTGAGTATTTTTTCCCCTGTTTTTCACCCTGTTAGTTTATATTCAAGTGCTTTGAGAAATCCTGTCCAAAGGAAACATAAAACAAACCTATTCAATATTTTTTGAAAAATACATTTCTATAGTATTCTACTTATAATGTAAAGAGATTAAAAAGGAAAAACAGCCTTTAGTTTTCAGTTAAGTACATATTTTCAAAGAGGTTTAAGTAAATGTATGTGTAATTTTTATAAAAACAAGGTGGTTAAAAAGTCATATTGAAGGGTGGTAATATGGAGCAAAATGTCTAACCCCGAAGCTCTTAGCCTTAAATAGAGGTTTATCTCCACAAAAACAACTCCACTGATAACACCTTTTTTTACAAGAAAATTACTCTTTTATCCAGAAAGTCATACATTTGCCCATTTACGAGTTTTTCCAATATTGAGTCAAAGACTTTATAAAAGTTTAAAGTGTAGTTGTAAAGCAGATCTTATAAAAGTTGTTTATTTCTACAGGTAGAAAATTTAACATATCCCACCCTGCATTTTAGCCCAGCAATTAAATGCAATAATTTTTCTTTTTCTTTTTTTTTTTGCTTTGGTGTGAAAATAAAAACCTGGAAACTTAGGGGAATAGACAATTTTTGGGGAGAGGTTTTAAAGTGTGTTTTAGTTTTATGTGAAGAAAACAGGGAAAAGATGTCCTTAAGTAATTTTTAACTCCAGCTGTATTCACATTATGGCAGAACATGGGATTAGATTTGTAGGTAAACACCTTTTTGAGTGTCATCTGCTGTACAAGTGTTGGGAGGACTTGTACAACGAGCAAGCTCTAGGCTGGATGTGTGCTCCTTAACACCTGGCACACTTACTGCACTCCCAGCACAAATCTACATCCCTGCATCTATCCACAGGCAGCCTGAGATGGCCCTGTGGTGTAATCCAAAGCACAGTGATGGAGAAGAACCAAGAGATTTACTTTAAAACTGCCCCCTGTAAAGCAAACTAAACATTCATGTGGACTCAAGAGCTCTGAAATTTTCCTGGCCTGGTTGTTGAGTACCATTATTTTTGCATTTTCCAAGAAAGGGCAACAAAGCTGGTAAAGGGTGTAGAGTATGAATCTGATGAAGAGCAGCTGAGGGAGGTGGGGTCCAAAAGGGTCATCAAGTATTGAACAGGCTTGAACAGGCTTCCAAGGGAAGTGGCTGAGTCATCATTCCTAGAAGTCTTCAAAGGATGAGGTACTTTGTGACACAGTTTATTGGAGGACTTGAAAGTGCTGGGTTAATAGGAGTGAAGATCCTCAGGGTATTTTTCGATCAAAATAATTCTGTTATTCTATGACTTCCCAAGACAGCCAAACTGAATACTCAGTTTCACAGTCATTAATGTTAGGTTGTTTCTTTTGTTTTTTTTTCTCCTTTTTTAAACTTTTTTAGCATTATCTTGTGAAACAGTGGTACAATTCACACAAATCTGATATCTCACAGCTGTATTTACTATTCTACTGCTATTTACAAAATTGCTAGTACAAACTACATTTTTGTTACTGCTTTGCTCTAAGACATTAAGTTCAGGCAACTGCACTTTTTCCATCATTTCACTGGTAAGGTTTGTGTGTTTTCCTTCCAGTGCATTATGTTCAGTAGTGATTTATATTTATTACCAAATAATTGATGAAAATGTTGAACAGAACTGTGTCCAATACAAAACTTTGTAGAAAATGATGGAGAACAGAGTAATAACTCCTTTGTCTATCAGGCAACTAATGATCTACTTGTGTGATTCCTTTCATAATCATTCCGACTCTGTTTACCAAATCTACAATCATATGAAGGCTGAAATCAGATTTGCTTTGCAAGATTTATATTCCAAAAAATCATGTTGACTACTAGTAATTATATTCTCACTATTTAACTCATTATGGTTTAGATTTTGTATCTATTTGTCTCCAGTATTATCCAGATCTTATTCCAAGACCTTTCCCCAAAATTCCCAGTGGCCTTGGATGAATCTGGTCCTAATTTGCTGGTGTGAATTTGTAAATAGGTTGTGCTTTTACACTCAAAGTGTGCTAAATAAAGAGATTTGGTGAAAGAGCAGCAAAAGGTCAATTTTTGCAAAAGAAAGTTAGCAGAGGAATGTGCTGCTGACTGCTCATTCCAGAATTTTCTTCTCCTATTAACTGCTAGCTTCTCTGCAGCTCAGAGTGGGAAAAGATTTCGTGACTACTGTAATGCAAAGCCCAGTTAGATATTTTTCATCATTTAGGGCATTTCAAGAAACAGACATTTTCAACTGTCAAATGGCTGCTGTTGTAAATGCCATTTTCCTCAGGGTTCTAGCTGGGGAAGATATGAATCACAATCAATATTACTTAGAAAATTTTCCATTTATTAAGCTGATATTAGTAATAAAATCCAGGTGTTATTCTAAATCACAATTACTAATATAAGAATCTAATTGAATTAGCTAAAAAAAAAAATTCCTCTTGATATACAATTTAAATATGCTGCCAGAACCAGCTGTAACACTGCCTAGTCTTTGCCTTAGATCTATTTAGACTTTCACAGGCACAAGCCACTCTAATGCAGTGCTGTTCTGAGCAATACCACAAGCAATAAACCCAAGCAAAACACAGGGCTTTTTCATCAAGATCAAAAGGTCTGTTTTTTGAACAGAGCACACAAGGAACATCTCATCAGCAGGAAGTCATGCACCCTAAACAGCCGAAAGATGAAAGCAAGGTTATAGTGTACAACATTACTCTATCAGGAAAATAAACTATAGCCAGATTTTTGTGCAGATTCCAAACTTACATTGAAAAATGAAAAGCAAAAAACAAATCCTCAGAACAAAAACCTTGGCTAAGGTTTGTGGAAGCTGGAGTAAGTACTGAAGCAAAGGACTTCTTAATAACACCTGTTGACTTTTGCAGAGTATTTAAAATTCTGTCAAAAAAATAAAAATTCTATTGTTGTCAGACAAGAAGAATCCAAGACAACCCTCTTTAATGCACATCAGTGCTCCTGGACAGGCAATGTGGACTTGCATACCGTGATGATCTTGACTATGTAGGTGCAAAAATATGTATATGAATGAACAAAATCCATGTGAGAATGAGTTTGATAGCTGAAATTAACTCCTCTAAAGTAATTGTAAATAAATCTCAGCTTTCTCTGCTCTAAAATATCAGACTCAATTTTGGTACTTTAATTTCTTATATTATTCATATAAATTTGAAGCTGATATGAAAAGTTGATTATTTGAATTTAAAATTTGTATTAATGTGTTTGTATTATTTAGTATTTTTTAAATTAACTTGAAGTTGATATGAAAAGCTTTGATTCAAAACCAGGATGGAGTAACTTGATATTAACATGATTTTATTGTCTTGCTTACCATGCATTGGCCATGTGAGTAGGAGAGTAGACAAGTAAATAAGATGGTTGTTACACAGAGATACACTTTAAAAGAATGAGAGGATGAAGACCAAGTACCAAATTTCTCTCCTGCTGCTGAAGAGGAGACCCCTGAAGGGCTACTTCCAAGTAAGCAAGTATACTAATCATCTGGTTGTGTGACTGTCTATTTTGTTATGTCTTGATGTGTTTCTAAAAATGTATATGCTCATTAATAAATTTTATTTTTGTCCCAGCCTACATTTTATATGATTATTTTGATCCTGTAAACAACACTTGTTTTAAAAGTCTACGCACAGTCTCTTCTCATACAGGTTACCAACTTTTGCCTTGTTTTCAGAATACCTTTCTCAAGTGCTTAATTATCTTCCTCAGGTTCTAGTCAAACACTGAAGTGCCTTTATTAATGCCCTTTAGTAAGTCCATGTATGAATCATACCTCTCAGGCACTGTGGAGAACATTTTATTGTTCCAATAATCTCATGGT